GGGCGATCCAAACGATGTTGGAAATGGTGAACAAGAGTGCCATTAAAAGTGGTGAATTTGTTGGGACTTAATGGGACTTATAATTACTGTGGATTATGTTCAAAACCATTTTGCAGGATGCGGCTTGCCCGTTTTCAACCAGCTAGTATTTCATGAGACGGGATACAGCTATGGCCCAAAAAACCAGTTATAACTGGCGAACAAAAGCCTCATTTAAGTGATATGTTTCACCAGTTGCAGGAGTTAACCCGTCCCATGGCCATAACTGTTGATGGCTATAACTGTGGTAGATGTTTTGATTTGATATTTTTCAGAACAATCTAGTCAAGTCTAGGGAGTGCAGGTTTTATAAGGATTTACAGGGAATATTATGGGGATATATTATGATATAAAGGAGATAAAACAAATGGGAACTCAGGTTGCATTACAGCAAACAAAAAATGCGGAAAATCGCATCCTGGAAGTTCTTGATCGCACTATCATCCTGAAGATTTCCTGTTCGGCATCTTTTGGGTGCTATGATAAATGTTTACAACCAAAATGAGGACTTAACTATGACAACTGATGATATCATGGGGATATACAGTTGGATAATTAGGAAAATTAAAGAGTTAAAACTTATAACTAACAAAATTGACAGTTTTCTGAAAATAGGGGTATCCAATCTTGGACATCATCCACTGCGTAATTCCTGGTTGATCAGCTTGTGCAGGCTTGTGCAGGTAGATCATCTCATTTAAAATATGTTAACCAGTTACAATGTGAGGCCCCCCAGTTATAAGTTGGTTTTTAAGCCCCAGTAACTATAGTTATAAGTACCATAAACCATAATAAACCAACTTAGCTATCTTGGGGGCCTCACATTGTATATATTGTACTACAACTGTCGTACTCATGCTCACAAAATCACAGAATTTTAGTTGTCATGCACCTTGGATTCAAAGGTTCCAATCACAATAAGCGGGTGCTACGCTTCTTAAGCGCAATTGAAGGTCATGTTGGAATCCTATAAACAAACCGTCGGTTGTGGGGAAGTCGTTAGGTCGCGGCAATTGGCCTATATGTATAGCTGCCGGTGCTTGGATAAGCGTGGGCGGCTTGTCTTGGGGGTTCATCCGGCTCATCCAGTTCGATTAACACGCGTTCGCGTGCGTCTCTGTGTGTGTGTGTGTCCAGCCCTGTTTCTAAGGGCTTTCCTGTCACTGCCTGTTTTCAAAAAATCATTCCAGGGGGACTGTCTACCCCACAGAAGTGACAGTCCAACGAAGAGGCTTCTGTGGTGGTACTGATATCAGTGAGGACGCTCACTGATGTACCTGTGATGAAACTGTTGCTTCGACTTACCATTTGTTAGTCAATTCATATTTTTTGGATATCATGGCAAGGTGGCCAAGCCAGAAACCACCCAAATCATTAACGGCAACAGGCCTTCCTGGGAATTATCCCACTACTCTAAAGAGTTCTCAACTCGCATCGACGACAAGCGGTCTTTCAAGTGTGTGTGTGTGTGTGTCACTATGGCCAATCTGGACCCACCCAGGTGTGAGTTGGGTTACCCATGGAACCTTTGTCCTTCGTAAAGTATACCTAGCCTAGAAAAACCCAATAAAAATCCTATGTCATAAAACCAGCTACAGTAACGGTTATAGACCGGCCATGACCGAACTAACTGTAGATACATCTACAACCATAGAATTTGCCAGGAGTACCAGGGGGATAACAAATCCGGCAACCATCCGGTCAATTAACCTTCTAAAGATGGAAAGCCCACCTGTTCTCTGAGCAGTAGGACGAAGACAAGCAAACAATTACCCTCTGGTAAACTAACAGTTCGCTTTTGAACATGGCCCATTTATAGTTGATTTACCCATTAAAAATGGTGATTTTCCATAGTTATGTAAACGTTTTCCAGAGGGTAAGCGTGTTCCACATCGGATTTGTTTTACCTGAGGCTATTCTTGATTCATTTCAGCAAATCGTCTACTGGTCATTGAGGCCACTGGGGTATTTGTTTGGAATGAACAAAACCTATGCCATAATGACCAACAGGCTGCTTGACCCATGGTGATGTCCATTCTTATCATTCTTCAGGACATCCAACCGCGAAAACAACAATGGCAGAAATCCAAGAAGAAGCAACCCCCCATGGACTCCCATTTATAGATGATGTTCGCATTAAAACACCTAGTTTTACGGGTTGTCCATTGCCACGGAGGGTAAATCCTGACCAAAGAATACACTATTCAGAAGCAAGGAAGGAATCCCATGATACCTCGCAGAAGACTCCAAGACGACTTAGAGTCACACGGTGGGGTCACCACAATTAGCCAAAGTGCTTTATACCCTAAACCCATGTTGGTAAAACGATGTTGGTACAGTGCAAAACAATGTTAGTACAAAACTAAATCTCAAATTTGAGTTTGTGCATACCGGAAAAAATAGAACAACAACGTGGTGTCTTAATCCTTTTCCAACATGTTTGAAGTGCGCCCCAGATGCTTCGGCTCAAAGTACATCTGCCGTTGCCTGCCCAGAAGTGATCGGCGTCACGGACTGGAGCTGTTACAAGGTGGGGAACCCCCAAACGATAGCTAAGTTGGTTTATTCGCCGAGGTTAATTCTATGGTTTTTGGTAGATATATCAAATATCAAGCCTCTGCATTTAATCTGGGTATGAATGATCGTCCCATTGGCAGAAAGAACGTGAACTACTTGGAGGTGCGCTCATTGGTGTCTGGCTTATATCATCCAATTGTATCCCAGTGATGACTTCCAACCATCTAAGCAACCAATTCAACAGTCGGTTTCAATGTTTGTTGATTCAGGTTATCTATGAACCCTTCCAGAAAGCGTCAAAGGGGATAATTGGGGTGGGATTAACACCAGTATATGTATATATAATGATATATATATATATATAATGTTGAGGTAGGATTAATAAAGCCCCCGAGTTAATCAAGCGCTTTTTCACCGGAAATTTTGGGGCAATACTAAAGTCCTCTACGTGCTGATTTCCCCCCCTAATAACCGTGAAACACCCCCCAATTAATCATGCCCCTCCGGGATCCCCAAATTTTTGGTGGGACTAATTTGCTATTGCTCCCTTTTACTTTTTAATTCGGATTGCAATTTCCAGGGTTACTTCCTATTTTGGTTTACCATAGGTATTCTTCTCTTTTCTCACTGGAATCTGATGGTTTACCATTCATTTTCGAATCTTCCCTCATAGGAATTTGATGGTTTCTACGTGGTTTCCTCATCTTCCCTCAAAGGAATTTGATGGTTTACCAAAGGTTTCTGATCATGTCTCATTGGAATTTTATGGTTTACCATTCATTTTCGAATGTTTCCTCATAGGAATTTGATGGTTTCTACGTGGTTTCCTCATCTTCCCTCATAGGAATTTGATTGTTTACCATACGTTTTCTTACCTTTTCTCATAGGAATCTCATGGTTTACCATTCATTTTCGAATTTTTCCTCATAGGAATTTGATGGTTTCTACGTGGTTTCCTCATCTTCCCTCAAAGGATTTTGATGGTTAACCAGAGGTTTTCTGATCTTTTCTCATAGGAATCTGATGGTTTACCATAGGTTTTCTCATCTTTTCTCATAGGAATCTCATGGTTTACCATTCATTTTCGAATCTTCCCTCATAGGAATTTGATGGTTTACCATAGGTTTGCTTATCTTTTCTCATAGGAATCTGATCTTTCCTCATCCACCTCGCAAGTATGCTCTTGCAACGTGGCACTTTTTTTACTACTGCTACTACTACTACTACTCCTCCTCCTGCTGCTGCTGCTTCTACTGCTGTTACTACTGCTACTACTACTACTACTACTACTGCTACTGCTACTGCTGCTGCTGCTACTGCTACTACGGCTACTACTACTACTACTACTACGACGACGACGACGTAATTTGATATGCACATATACAAGTGGATCCGGATAAGCCACAACCAAAAAAAAAGAGGGCATCTTGAAGGCACCCTCTATCAGTGCAAGGGCTGTGCTTTCAGGGGGTCGAAGCCGCACTATTGCCAAACACACTGGTTTCAGAGGTTTTTTGTGGGTTGGCTCATCACGTTGGGAAGAAGTGACTCTCTTTCATTGCAAGAGCTGTGCTTTCATTAGGTCGAAGCCGCGCTATTGCCAAACACACGGGTTTCAGAGGTTTTT